AGGAGAGAGAGAGAGAGAGAGAGAGAGAGGGAGAAGACACTCGGCTCGTTTAATTCTTTACGTGTACAGTTACGCGCGTGCAGTTGTCGCCTATTGTTGTGTATATACGGACTCTTCGATACAGTGCGTCTGTTCCATTCGAATGTAACGTCTATCAATTGCAGGTAGAACTGCCAATCGGTGGAATTCAAAGCGGTTCGCGAAAGAGAGAATGGGTTAGTAGGGGTCGAAAGAGGCCAATTGACACCTCGATAAAATTGGACTAGATCGAAAGGGTGGTGGTAGTGGATGATTGGATTTATTTGAAGGTTTTTCCTTCTTTTTTTTCTTTTTTTTTTTTAGTACGGATGACGTTGGAAACGAAATAGAAATTTTATTCGCATCTTGACGAAATTTTTGGCGAAGTTGTTAGCACAGTTTTCATCCTCGTTCTCTCGTGAAAAAGTGTAAGATATTATCGTATTCATCCTTTAGGATACAAAAAAAAAATTACGTTTATCAGATTTAGCCTCACGTGGGTAAGTCAATGATCAAAAATTTTTCAAAATTCCTTCTGATACCGCGTCTCTATGTTTAAATTCTTTCAATTTGAGACACCGCACGAGCCTTATTATCAAATTTCATTTCCTTCGGCGGAATTCTCGAACTGCTGGGTCTTCTTTAATCCGAAGAAACGCTTTAAAACTTGCAGCAAATATGAAAACCGTGCGCGATACGTTTCTCGATACCTCCGTTCCCTCTTCCTCGTCCATAAAGTAGACCCGCGCGATACAACTGTCTAAATCCCAACCACCCCGACTTGGTTGCGGTAGAATCGTGCCCAGGATTCGGTAACGAAGAATCCGCAACAAGACGTTCCCTCCGTTTTTTTAACATTTTATAACCCTTTTCGGCCAGAAAAACATTACCGAGTAACGTTTTCTTTATTCTTCCTCTCTCGCTCTCTCTCTCTCTCTCTTCTCTTGGCCGACCGAGTTAAGAAAATTCTCAGGCTTTTATCTCACGTTCGCCATATCTCTATCGTTAGGGGTCGGTTAAAGAAAATCGTCTGGTGCAATTTCGCGTGGGAACGTTTTACGAGCTGCTAATACCCTCCCCTCCCTCCCCGAACAAGCTCGCGACCAATTACCGGTATTCATTACTTATCGAAACGGGTTGGGAATCTTTCGTCCATCTTCGGCTCGGTTATCGATTCACCGACACCCGGCCACCGAACACGGGTAAATCCTCTTAGCGAAAGTGGGAACAGAGAGCAGGGAGGGAGGGTAGGGATCCAGTTCCAGTGGTAGACGTATTGTTATCATAACGATAGCGACCGACATATGTAAATCGTTGGAAATTAATTTAGCAGAAGTTCGGTATTACGGTCGGCCGGGTTTCTCCTTCTTCGTGGCAACGGTATGCCATACCGAGGAACGAGGGGGTTGGTGAACGAGAGGAAATAAAGCTCGGTGGCCTACTTCCTCCCTCTCTCTCTCTCTCTCTCTCCCTTCAACAATTCTACGTAGCTCGCCCCCGCAGCAAGAGAAATCCGGCGAAGGCAAAGACTTCGCGAAGTTGGAAACTTTTCTCTCTCCCTTCCTCCTTTGTCCAACCCGCATTCCACCTTTCTCTTCTCCCCCGCGCTCACCACTCCACCCACTCGTCTCTAACCAGTGCTCTAGCTGCCGCGTTCACCGATCAAAGTCGGACCCTCTCGCCACGTTCTCGCGCTCTAGATTGTTATTAACCAGTCTTATTAACCGTCGAACAATTGATTCTCGGAGGTGGAAGAGGTGGACTCGAGACCGATCGTGAATGCGATGCATCTCGATTCCTTGCGGCAAGAATAAGATAGGATAAAATAGGGAGGAGGAGGAGGAGGAGGATGGTTAGAAGAAATGTTTACAAGAGAAACGTAGGGGAGAATATGCGGTAAGCATATCGCGTAGAGTGGCAGAATAACGCGGGGAGTATAATCGTATTCTGGAAGGAGAGGAAGCGGAGAGGAGCATCGACGAGAGCGCGGCATCGAGCCGATAGTTATCCGAAGTATAGGCTGTAAGCGACACAGACGTACAGTCCGATGAGTATCAATAGCTATCTCGGGAACTGGTAGAGGTATGCGCATTGGCGCGAGACTGCCAATAGCCGCGCGGATCTGCCAAGTGGAAAACCGAAATCTGATTTCTATTCTCCCCTTTTTCGATTCATACATATATATATATATATATATACATATAGGAATAGTCGGTTAAGGGCCTCCCTACAACTTCCTGTACCACATACCCATGGCATGGCACGTCGTTTTCGAAGTTCAAGGATACCGATATCGAAGAATCCTGTTTTCCTTTTCTCGTTCCGTAAATTTTCATTCCGGGACAGCTCGATAAATCTGTCTGGGCTATCGGGGCGAACGTTCGCGTCGCGGTTTCAACGTTCCCCGGATTACTTCATCGTTGCACACCACCTTCCATTGGTATGCAGACTCTTCTCATATCGTAGCTTCCACTTCCGACTAATTCGCATTCCGCGCGCAATATCGCTATTCCCGCGGGTTATCGCGCCCCGCCCCATTAACATTCACCGTGCTTGATCAGGAAATAAAGAAGGTATACGCGGTGATACGCGGCCGCAGGACGTCGCCGCCACTTTTCCAACCGGGCTCCAACCATTTCCTTCCCTTTCCAAGTGACGCGCTGACAGATCGCGCCACGATTTTAATTCCCGTATCTGACGCGCGTCCAACGGCGCGTGTGTATGTAACTTGGCAACTCGGTCCAGACCAACACGTTCCGAGCGCGAGATCGGGTGAAACGGGTTGTTGCTCGAGCGGCTAGGCTCGAGATGTTCGGCCTCCGGCCAGGGGAAGAGAGAGAGAGAGAGAGACGCAGGCCGTGGAAGGACTTTGCCGCCTTCTTATACGCTTAGTTCGTTTTACCGCTTCTATATGGTATCTTGCCATCTTCGATGCGTTGAGCCAGGCCTGGGAGTGCGACTGGCTTTCTAAGCAACCCGATCGCGACGCGATGGAATTCGTGCTCGCCCAGACACGGCGACGCGCCCGCCTCTTCTTATTCTATCTCGTCCTGGATACTTGCAGCGCTGCCTTCTTTGTTCTCGCTACCCAATTTCGTTCAGGGACGCTCTCCTCGTTCAGCCATTCATCTATCCAAGTCTCGTTCGGCTTCTGTTCTTCTTGTTTCGTCGATCATCGTCGCCGATCCGATCGACGCGTTGCAGTTCGGATCGCAGAACCGATCGTTCGAGTTAATTCTACGGGATCTCGTCTCGAAATGACGAGAATTATAAGTCTCTCGCCGAGTTTATCTTTGCCTTTGTTTGGAAACTATTCGACCGCTGTTCGTAACGTACGCACGCACGCAACGTGTTTTCCTTCGACGAACGTTCTGCGCTCCAAGCGATCGCTTTCCGTTTGTTTTGTTTTCTCAATAGAATTATAATATTTCTCGGAGCACGAAGGCGGCACGAAGGAGAAAAAAGTAACGTTAAGGTATGTTCAAGAAATGCGAATCTCTTCCTCCTACGAAAAAAAAAAAAAATTAGCAAATAAAATATCGGAAGAATGTGGATGTCGTTGCCACGAAATAACGATCCGATCTTCGATGATCGTACACGACTGGCGGGCTTTCACCCGCTTCACCCGATCGCATCGAGCAAGAATATTGGAAAGGGAGTCGGGTGGAGGACGTAAAGTTTGCCACCGAGGTGTGGTCGAAGGAGGCGATCGCCGGTTTTCGGCCGCGTTCTGCCGCGCGAGAGCAACCATGGAGAGAGAGACAAGTGGGATCGGTATTTTCGGTGGGCTCGGCGCGCATGCAACCTCCGCCGCGTTGGAAGCTGGTTGCAACCTTCTCCTCTCTCTCTCCCTCTCTCGCCGGATCGCGGCATCCCATCGCGAGACGTAAGAATAAACAGGTTTGCCGCGTCCTTATAAGAGGCCGGGAGGAAAAGGGAGTCCGTCGGAGGGAAGGATGAGAGGGCAAGGCGAGAGCGGTCGACACGCACCGGGAGCGAGGGAGGCGAGAGACGAGAAGGACGAGCAGGAGAGGACGAGGAGAGGAGTGGAGAGAGGTTCTTTGGTATCCTCTTCCTTCGCACGGGGTTTGAAAGGGTCTACACGCGCGCTACATTCGCGAGACTAGGCGAGGAAGGAAAGGATGAAAAGAGCGTGGTGTCCGTTTCTTCCACGCGGATTTTCTTACACGCGCGAGTACCGACTTTCGTGAGATTGGAACAGGAGAGGAGAGGGGATGAAAAGAGGAGGAAAAAGATGACGCACGCGGCACAGTTTTCGCGAGAATCGAGGCTGAGCGAGGCGAGGAAAGAAAAGAGGGAAAGAGTAATATCCTTCGCCCAGGAAAACGACCGTACAGCAGCTACGAAGCTGAATAATCGTCTCTCTGTTGCTACCATGTTTGCGGTTAGGGATTGTTACTTCGTTACTTCGTCAGCAATGTGGTTAGACAGGATTTATCTTCGGTTGGAAACGCGACGTGTTCGTGATTAGGACGGTTCGTACGCGCTCTCTTCCGTGGTTTTTTCGACGGAGCGAGCAGAGAGACGCCGATCCTTCGACCGGTTAAATGGCATCCGGCTTCCTCGATCCCTTCGAAAGAGAGACCCTGCTTCGAGCTTTTTCTCCGATCCTAGAATACCACGGCGTAAATCCATTTCACCTAGAAACAAGTTAATTTTTACGCGTATAACGCGAAAGAAAATCGAATGGATTAATTTTCGACAAAGGACAAATTTTGAATTCACCAATTTGTGTTCGTGTTACCTCGAGTTATTATTTATCGACGGCGCTATTCGCTTCGAAAAGGAAACGAACGAACGAAATCCCGAAGCGTGTATAATCGCCTACGGTGACGCGCATCAACCCACGCGTGGCAGCACGCAACAATCGCGAGGCGATCTCCCTCGCTAATTACCAAAACCGCTTAGACGACCGCTTCTTCGCTCGCCTCCCCTCGATTAATTGCGTCCCGTCGATTCCTTTCAGATTCGAACGGAATTAATTGCGTTTCTACGTCGCGCGCTCGCAAAGGGGGTGGAAGGGGACGGTGGAAGGGGTGGAAACAGGGTGGAAACAAGGGAGGGGGCGACCGAGCCTTTTTTGTCCCGGCGCTGGCTCGTAAATCGATCAAACGCCGAAATCGAGTGTCCATAGTTCGTGCTCGCGATACACGCGCCGTGTGTACGTGTGCGGCTGGATGCACACGGACGGCGCACACGCGCGGGAATATACAGTGGGACAGGTCGAGACAGGGAGAAAAGCAAGACTCGCCCAGGCTGCCGGGCTTACCTCGTCGTAAATATAAACGTGTTTCGCACATTAGTCGAATTAATTAAATGCTAATTATGATCGGCCGGTGGCGCAACGTGCATACTGATATCGACCACGATTCCATTCCATCGCCTGTATCTGTGTATACACGTGGCTGCGTATATGCATATATATATATATGTACGAAGGGGCGAACGATGCATGTCTCGAATCTTATTAAACCCGGGTTCTTCGAGAACCAGTCCCTTCCCGCCCCTTCCTCCTCCTTCTCCGAATATTCCGCGGAACACCCCGTTATATCGCGCCGCATCGAAGTCGAAAGAACGCGAAATTTTTACACGCGAGTTGCCGTGCACCGCCTCGCCTTACCTCGAATCTACCTACCTACCGTTTCCCTCTCGCTCTCCCTCCGCGATGAACGAGAGAGGACGAGAGGATCCGTTTGATCTTTTTTCGGGGACATTTATTTCGGCTACCGGGCACCGGCTTAATTTGCAAATATTCGCTGACGGTAATTAAAGACACGGCCGGCCGATTCGCTCGCTTCCCCGTATCGTGGCCAGGATCTTGACCAGACGGTGAGACGGTGATTATCGTGTGATGAATACCCCGTGACGGCCGAGGGACAGGTTCGAGCGAAATCGAGAAACGATTCCGTATAATTATCGCGCCTCCGTCCCCGCTTTCTTGGAAACGACTTAACCAGGCCAACTTATTGCTTAAACTGAATTTTCGTCCTTTTCGTCTTTTCTCTGGGAAGCGAATCATACCTAATTATTATTATTATTATTATTATTATTACTATTATTACTATTATTATTATAGCGAACGCTGGATATCGTGACTTGGAGAAACTTTGCGAGTTAACCTTGTACCATTTAAGGGCGGCATTCCAATTACGAAAAAAGGCGAAATTTATTTCTGCATTCCATTAGTAATACCGATCGCGAACCGAGGCGAGGCAAGAAGCGAATCGATAATCCTTATACCGTCCATTCACTCGTTTCTCATTAATCATCAAACGAAGATGAATCGAGGAATCTCAAGCTGGTATTGCGGGTATTGCGCTCCTCGTCGCAACATCATCAACTGGTGACATAATTAGCTGTAAGACATCGTTTAAAAGATCGCTTGTTAAAACGCTTTCGATTTTTGCTCGCGCGTCGATAACAAATGGAAGAAACGCGCGTTCGTTCGGTTCGCGACCAACGAGAGAGAGAGAGAGAGAGGAGAATAAGACAAGCGTATTAATCTATTC